GGTTTAATAAGTAGGACTTTTCCAGTTTCAGGCAATCTTTACTTATAATATTTCTATAGTAGCATTGATTTTTATGTTCAATGTCCTGGCAAGCCACTAATAATAAACTTGTTGAGCCTGGTTTTGAAAGGGTAGATAGAAAAATAAAGGTATTGAAAATGTTTCTGTTCTTTGCCTTGGAGAGTTATAGAAAAGGCATCCTTTAAGCCATGTACGTTTCAAAATCTCTAATTCCCAGGTTTTCAACAGCGTGAAAATGGTCCTGCAGCACAGTTACAGATCATTTGTAATAGTGCTCAAATTGCTATTTTGAGCCTGTGCCAAAGGATAATCATTAACCATGGTTGATTAGATTCAGTTCCTCCTGTGCTCTTTAGAAGATCTTTACCCGTATGCTTGATTCCTCAGGGCTGTTTGAACCTGGTGTCATGCATTTTCAGTCTTCATTATATTTGTCACAAAATGTCAAGGGAATGATTGAAAGATCAATATGATAAAAATGTCTTCTCGTTTAGGAAAAGTCCTGAAAATATTAGTCATTCTGAACAACTCAAGGAGAAGGAGAAGCAAGGTTTTTTCAGGTCAATGAAAAAGAAAAAGAAGAAATCTCAAACAGTAAGTCGATGGCCAATTTCTATATATAATGGCATACGTTTCTGCATTATTCTGTGGATACTTTACACTTCGTACATGGCAACCAAAGTTGATTATTTTCTTACTGAGACTTAACATGCATGTACTGTATATGTCTCTTTCTGAAATTCTGTACAACTATACTCCTGTCACGGAGCCTTTTCTAGATTCAACAGAATCTCCAGGAATAGAAGAAATTTAATTTGGATGAGAGAGAACACTTTAAGCCTCTTTCAGTAAACCTCTTACCTGTGTGGATTTATATTTGTGTAAAAACTGTAAAGATGCAGGATTTGTTTCTCTCTGGGGGGTTAAAGATATACGAAAACTTAGGAAATGGTTTTGGTTTATGTTTAAATCTTGAAATTCATAAATAACTGTCATTCCTTATTCTCCCCTGGCTGATTATAGAACTCCCATGTTGATAAGTGTGTTTCTGGGCTGTACAGTCACAGAGAAACGATCGTATCCGGGATTTCAGGGCTTGCTTTAGAAGGAAAGCATGTTTGCCTCTTGATTGCGCTGTTAGATGGAATATGCCTTGTCTCCTGGGAGCCACCTGCCTGGACAAAGGTCTGGCTCCACGGGACCTTGTGCATCCCTTCGCTGAATCACGTAAGCAAGGGCTCTGCTGGTTAGTGACATGAGAAAACGTTGGGAAACCAGGCCTCCAGGACAGCAGCAGGAGTTCTTCACCCAGATGAGGCCTGCTCACTCCTTTGCTTCATGATACCTTCAAAACCAGACAAGATTGAGTTAGCCATTTTAAGTGGTTTTGTTTCTACTTCCGCTTCACACGTGATTTACTCTCATTTATTTGAAGAGGAAAAAAGGCATAATCAAAATGGCCTGTTTGGGTGGACTTCATTGATTTCATCTGTAAAATGAATAGATTAGACTCAGTGTTTCGATGGCCCTGTCCATTATGAAAATTCTAAGATTATGACTCAATGAGAGGTAAAGATTAGATAGATGATAGTAGCAAAATACATAACCCAAAGTAAGGATTTCTATCTCACAGACATTCTAGAAATATTAACAAAAACCTTCCTGGAATACCTTTCTCGATCATTCTTTCACTTGCTTGTTAAATTTA